CCCCCAGTCCGCATCTGAAACAGCAAAATGCACAAATGCGGAGCCAACGACACACACAAAATCAACCAAGACGACTTAAAAAGCTCTTAAAAAAAGAGTCAGAAACCTCGCCATACCGTGCCAACAAAATCAACTGCCTGTTGACCAACAGACACTTAATGCACCCAGTAGGGGGTTTGTCTGAGTCCCACCCTGATTCTTGTCCAGTTCGTTCCCATTCTGTTCTTAATGAATGTCAAGACTAAAGAGAGGAGCAAGAACTGGTTGCTGTAGGAGAGAAAGTGGTCAAATCACAGACACCATGAGTCATCACAGACTGTATTTGACATCAGACATCTTGTGTAATTGCTCAAAGATCTAGCTGGTTGGGAGTTCATTAAAATGTCTCTTTTGAACATTTTGTGTTAAAGGAATTTCATGTTGCTTTAAGCCGTCGAAGCAATTTCCAGAGAAACTGCTGTAGGGAAGTAATCAAAACATTCCACATCATTTCAAATGCAACTGGAGTCAAGGTACTACTGCCATCAACAGACCTTCAACATTATTACTACCTAATCTAAACAGTTGTCCTGAAGGATTACATGATGAGAAGGAAAAAGAAAACCATCAAAATCTGCTAACACTGAAACAGAAAGGCAGCTCAGTTCACCGTTTTCTCTATTGAAAAGTCACCGTATGAAGTCAGGTGTTCATGGAGTCTGCCTGGGAATCCAGATATGAGAGCACAAGTCCTGTGTTGCTCAAAGATACACAACAGGGACCTGTTGTAGGTTTGGAGTGAATCCATTAACATGGAATACAATTTTTATGTTTCTGGACAGTGAACTCTCTGCATGTCGTGTCTACAGGTTTGCCATTTTGGGGTTAGTCTTGTCTTCAATTTCCTCTTCCCTAATGAGGTAAATGTCTTAACAAGGACCTAAGCAGAAGAAACATCCTCCCTACCTCCCTTCTTCTTTCCTTTTTTTTCCTGAATTTAAATCATTTTCTCAAGCTACTGTTTGTAACCCATTTTGCTCAAATCCCTCATCTTCTTCTTCTTCTTATCCCCAAAACAATCTATATTTGCTAATATTGCTTAAATAAAAAGACAATAGAGCTCAGTCTGATACCGGTCACCAAGCTGTTTGACAGATGAAATCTTTTAAATGGTTTTAAGGGCACCATACATGGGAGAAAAACATGTCAAATATTGTGTGCTTGCGTATGTGAGTGGACACACTAGCCCTCTGGCAAAGTGATGGATTGTACCAAATTTTGGCAAAGGAGAGGGGGATTCATTGTAATGTATATGCTGTATTTATGTCCTCTTTTCTGCCAATATACAGGCCTGGTTAAAAATGTGAAACATAGTTTGGATGAAGTGTTACCTAATGTGAAGAGTGAGGTTTGATATAAGGATAGTGTTGTGTAAATGGTCAGATATAGTAAAAAGATGAAAGCATTTGCAAATGGCACCCTCTAATGTTTACTACTGGACCTTCTTTTTCTAGACTTCTTGTTGATGTGTGCATATGTTTGTGTGTACATGCATTTGCCTGTGATTTGCTTTTTCAACTAAAATATGCTCAGAACATTTTGTTGTAACCAACATCCAGAGAGGTAAAGGGGTTAGACATGTCTGGCAAGTTTTTTCTAAAGATAGGGACTATTTTGATTTACTGAAAACTATCCGGAGAGAAGATACTGTAGTTCCAAACCATAAAAAACAATAAAAAAAAACAATGTTACAGCTCACACTGAGACTAAATGTTGCCCATAGAGGCCTCAATGAAACACCACACAATATAAAAGTGAAGAGATGGAATTAATTTGTACTTAGAATCAAATTATGGTAACTTGGATAATAACAATGTTGGTTCTTTTTTTGTGATTTTTACCACTTTATGAGGTTTAAAAATGAACAAAGGACTCCACAGTTGTGTACTTAAACATCTGATGGGATGGGATGGACTTAAACTTGGCATTTAAGAACTAATCATTGTCAGCATAACCCATTACTGCATGATGATCCTTGTATAATCGTTTCCAGCGTGTCAGTGTTTCAGTGTGTCTTTGTTGTCATGTGAAAAACCTCATATTTGCAGGTTAAGTTTGTTCGTCCCAGGGTGCACAAAACATAATCCTTATTGATTTTAAAATTGAAGTCAAAATTGGGGAAGTACATTAGTCTGAGGTGGGATGTGTTTCAATATCCACTTTCAGCAGAAGAAGGGTATCATAAGCTCATTTTCATCAGTTATCTCAGTGCAGTTTACAAAGAATATTAGTCGTGAATCTTGTAAGAACCAGCTTAAATCCATTCTGCCACAGTGAACAGGTCCTTTCTCTTCTCTCTGTTTACACATCAGGTAAAGGGCTTTGAAGAAGCATTGGAACAATTAACCCCTTTTTTTTTAAGTATTAGACTTTTGTTTATACAGGAAAGGTTTACTGAACTAATAATGAGAAAACCTTTTTAAATTTCACATTTGAAAGTGCTTTATATGGTTCGAACAGATCGAAACATTTCAGGATTGTGGGGAATAAAATCAGGCAACTAAGAAAAATATATCAAGAGATTAAATAAAAAAAACAATGAAGCATTAGATTTGACATGTTGGCAAAAAAAAACACTGTTAAAATATAAAACGGTGTAAACTGTGACACAAGACGTTGCTTATTCAGGAGAATTATTGTAGTGCTCAAAAATGAACAAGATGGTAACTTGAAAATGTGTTTGTTTGTTGGGGACCAAATAAATGAGTGGTATTAATTTTTTTTTTTTTAAACCTTTTCTTTCTTTTTTTTACAACTTTATTTGATGCTCATCACTGCTGAATCCATGTTGGTGAACACTTGTATTGTAAATATTGACCTGTAAATAATTTGGAAATGTACAAATGTATGTCATGTTCACATTATGAACACTCATTATTTATCCAGCTGATTCTTTTACTGATTTACTTTTTGTTCAATTAGTTTGATTTTTTTGGGTGGTTGAAGCACTTTTATCTTAGTCAACCTTCAACATGTGATGTTGAACAAACTGAGCCGTTGATTATCTTCACTAATTCAGTAATTGACACTTTACTTGCCACTAAGTTGACATTCATTTTCCTATCATCCTTTTGAAGTGTGTGCAAATCAGCTGTTCATTATTATTATGATTATGAAGCATGAATTTATATGGACCTAAAATAAGATAAACATTGTGATTCCACAGTCAAACTGTCTTGTTGTCTCTACTCAATGTAGTCATATATGTGATTACAGAGTTGCATTTGGTACAAATACCAAAGTCCAAGGAAGACACTCACACATGCGCGCACACACACACACACACACACACACACACACACACACACACACACACACACACACACACACAAACACACACACACACACACACACACACACACACACACACACACACACACACAAACACAAACACACACACACACACACACACACACACACGCACACAAACACACACCTAACACATGCCAATTTTACGGTGACATTTCAGAGAAAAAAAACAATTTCTGATGTATTTGAAGGAGCCATTGATACTTCAAACACACTTACCTTTATTCAAATGGGATATACTTGTTCATCATCGTGCCTGCCAGGCAATTCATCAAAGCACGTTTCCTTACTGTAGATATTATAGACATAACAAAGAACCAAAGAGAGCAGAAAAACTAGCCTTTGAGTTTATTAAGGTTCCATGATTATTCATATTACTGGTTTATGTTAAAAAAAAAATATATATATATATATATATATAGTAAAATATCTTAATTAGTATTTGTATAAAAAACAGTTGGTGTTGGGGTCATAATGTATGTCATTTTCCTTATTGATCTATGCTGTTTTTTTAATTTGTATTTAGTTTCTTGCCGTAATAAGTTATTTTGACGGAGATTGACAGAACACAATCAGTAAGTATCCAAGGCATCTGGCTGCTTGTTAGAGTTCATCTGCATGATGTCTTTCTTCTTCTTATACTTAATAAATGCAATGTTGTGATCTGACAGAAGGTTTTGCATTGCAGCCTCATAACAAACAATGCAGCAGTTACGTAACAACAAAAAACTTGTTTTGCACTAAGTCTGTCAAATGCAAAGCCTAATTTTAAGATATGAAATGTTTTTGATTATATTGCTTTTTAAAGAAAGCCTTTAACAAACAATGTTTTCACCTTTCTGAAAGCCACCAGCATCCTCCAGCTGACAGAGGAAAGGTCAAAAAAGTCAACTGAACAGCGGCACATGCTGCCTTTTTTTGTTGCCCCTTAATGATTGGCTGTAGTTCCAAAGAAACAAAAATAGAGGCAGAAAATCTATAACCAACATTAGTCAGCTTCTCCCTGGAGAAGCAGTGCACTGACTCTCCATCACTTCTTTTCTATCAGTTGTATTTATAATATTCTCTCCCTGAATCCTCCTCTTGTTTCCTTTTCTCTGTCTCTGAATATCCTTTTCATAACATCTGTATCCTCCTCTTTTTTTGTTTTCTCCCTCTGCCACCCTCTTGGTTTATTGTCTGCTTTCACTGTATTTCCTTTTTTCCACCCCCCACTCTTTATCTCTGCTGACATTTTCAGTCCAGTGACTTCAGACACAAACTGCACAGACTGTATTATTCTTGTTGCACTGCTAATCTGCTCTTTGCTAGAGACAAAGCGTTGCCTGAGCCAGCTCATTAACAAGCCATTGTTCGCTCTCCCTGAGCCAATGCTAGTCCTGTTACTGATAATATAAACTCCTACTTCCTTTATAAAAGAAAATTAAATGCAAACAGAAGACGGTTGCACTTGACTGGGCGGGCTAGTATCATTTTAGAAAGCTAACACAGCCCACATCAGATGATGAATGCCGAGGGTAGGAACAGTTCAGGCGTATGCTGAGGAATGATAATGACATGAGTTTTAAAAAGGAAACTGTCTTACACAATACATGGTGTGTGCGCGGATTTGCATTTTACAAAACATTCTGAAAGGAACTGTCTGAGTCTCATTTAATGATAACAAATGTCTTTATTTGGAGATGTTTTGAGCACTGTGAAGCAACATAACATGTCACCCAAACACATACTATCAGAGACCCTGCACATGCTACTGGGCTCAAACTTTAAAAATCGCTCTGTTCCTCTTCCATTAGCTTCATGTTTGTGTTTCTGACACATCTTAAGCCTAAGATCATCTTCTCACTTTCCTTTAATCTGTTGCACAACTAAAAACACTTCTTCGTCAAGTTCTATACGTGCACGTTTGCACAGCGAGACATGGAATAATTGCAGTAAAGATTCTGTTACACTTTTACATTTCATGATGGTGTTTCAGACCCATTGGAGTTCCAAGTGAATGCTGGGCCTTGTTGTCAATCTAAAACTCTTGCCAGTGACTTTTTTTCCAGACAAGGTACATGTTATTTTTTCAAAGAAGGAAAGAAAAACAAATAAAGTATAATCCCTGGAATGAACTTTATTAAAAACCAGGCTAAAGGCAGTTCACTATGCCTTCATTTTGTATTTTTGTTGTTTATCAAGTATACAGTGTGTTGTCTAAAGATGTATACTGGTGTTTCCTTTTAACATAGCTGAAATGTTCAACATATTGTTTCTTTATATAGGCTTAGCTTATAAATCCTACTAGTAGTGGTAGAAAAATGTCATTTTTTGTATCATATTTCTATTCATTTTTATATCGTTTCTAAAGTTGCCTTTTTCCAGGTTACATGATGTCCTGCTGGTGCTGTGTGGACTCGCTGACAACCTGAGGAGGAAACAAGAGGCATTGTAAATCGATATGAAGGACAAAAAACACATGCATTACCTATGTGAAGGACTGCAGAGTGTTGGATACAATACGTGAGAGTATTTTATATTTATAGAAAAGTATTGTTTGGAGTGAAGTGCTGTGCAAGGAGAACAGTCGACAAAGAAACCTGAAAGCCTGTGCTTGATGTTACAATTCTCAATTAAGTGTCTAAACAGGGTTGATGCAAACTTTAGGATTTCAGCCATAACTATAGAGATTGCTTTAGGGTCTTTATAAGGTCCATGCTTTAATGGCCACATGCAACATTTAGCCTATTTTAGTCAAGGAAATACTAAGGTGGTGGATGAATGAAACAGAAATGCAAGTTTCTCATAAAAACTTGTCATTTTTGAAGTGAAAAGGTAATAAAAAGTTGGGATACTGGAATGAGACTTACAGAACGGGCACTAGCGCCCTGGCACAAAGAAAACTTCATCTGGATAAGAGTATAACAATCAAAATAAAATCTTAATATCTAAGATGAATAGGTGCAGGGATCATATTGCAGTGGGTGTAATGACTGAAAAGTGTAATATTTGCAGTATAAAAGAACATTTGCACGTATATCTATGATTATGTGTGTGTGTTTGCAAACCTCGCCATCGCGGGTCTCGATGGTCTTGATGAGCACCGTCTTCTTGGAGTGAAGCTCTGAGGAGCGCTGGTGCTGTGACTCAGGACTGGTCTCTGTTAAATACACATTCATTCAGCTATTATTCTTTTTCAGACAATCAGCTTTGCTTCAGCTACACCAAGTTCATTCACTGTTAAGACTTTAGTTCAGCGTTGCTCCTAAGAGGATTATTTGGCCTTGAACAACCTGATGGAACAATGAAACAGTGTGTGCAGCTGCTGTGACTGCCACTTAGAAAGTATTATCAAACTCATACTCAAAGTCAGTGGCTGTAATGACTCAGGTCTGTACCTAATTCATCACCTTAAATTACTGCTCACTGTTTCATTTAAGCAGAACGAAGGGAGGTACTAGAGATTAATTACAGATCTGGACTGTTAATACATCAAGTGAATGGGCCGATTTGTGTGATTATTGATGTAAGCCTTGCGGATGATTGCCTCTGTGAATTATGGCATGACAAATGTCGCCACATAGCGGTCTAAACGTGTCACTGCAGCATGCAAGATGCAATGGCCTCAGAATAGCAGCTGCCATATACAGTCAGAGGCTATAATTAGTCCTTTTTATCCCCTCTATTGGCTCATCTGGAATGTAAGATGGATTGTGTTGGTCTCTGTGAAGCGAGCAGTGTGTGTGTTGGTTTCCTACCTCTGAATCCAATGGAGGAATAAGCAGACTGTGCAGGCACATTGGTAGTGATCCTGCAAAAAATGAAAAACACAAGATTAAGAGCTAGTGATGTTGGGAAGATATAATAATACAAACTACACATTAATGACATCCATTGAGTCCCTCAGTGCAAACAGATTTGTTGTAAAACTTTTAAAACTTGTTTGTGCCCACCTCTATTTAAATGTAGATAATGTTTCTTAAGGCTGTGAGGGTTTTGTAATAGAATCATTAGGGTTTTCTCTTTCTCTCTTATCTAAGTTGTGTTTCACGCAGAAATTGAGCAATATGTTATATATAATATGACTTATTCACTAAAATATATCGTATGTTATTGTTTCATGTCCTATTATGTCATTTGGTATCATATGGTATGGCATGTATGGCATGGCATCTCAAGGCTAGCGTGGAGTGGTGTGGCATGGCATGGTATGGTATGGTATGGTATGATTTGCTATAGTATGGTTTGGTACTTTATGGTACGGTATGATATTGTATGACATGGTATGGTATGCTAAAGTATAGTATGGTATGGTATGCTATGCTATGCTATGCTATGCTTTGTATTTGTATGGTATGCTATGGTATGGTATGGTATGGTATGCTATGCTATGCTATGCTATGCTTTGTATTTGTATGGTATGCTATGGTATGCTATGGTATGGTATGGTATGCTATGCTATGCTATGCTATGCTATGGTACACTCACCTGCTTTCCTCTCCCTCCAGCAGCTTGCGGTAGGTGGCGATCTCAATATCAAGGGCCATCTTCACATTGAGGAGGTCCTGGTACTCCCTCATGTGACGAGCCATGTCATCCTTTAAATCGAGACATAAACACTATTATCGTCTTTTCTTTTTTTTTTTTTAAGCTTTCTAACAAACACAAAAGTAACTTAACAAACTGCCCAAAGGACAAAAGATTGAAGAAAAACCATTCGTATTTGTAAAAGCTCAAATATCACTCACTGTTCCAATTGTGAGTTTCAGTTGGACTCAAGTTTTCTGTCAATTGTAATAAAAATCACTGATGTAGAGGCTAGATCAACAAGCTATATTCAATGATTATCACCAGAGTAAAAAGAAGAATTAGCCTAGTTATTGAGCATTTGTTGTGTTTTTACTGATACTACTGTACCTTCCCCTTAATTGAACACTATTGATAATAGTTTGATGCTGAGAATACTGGCCAAGAGAGCAAATAACTGGTCTAAATACAAAAAAGGCCGCGATCTTCAGGGTCCATCTGTGCATGTTCCAGCCACTGTCTGGAACAGCAATAAAGATAATAACCTTCATCTTAGCAATTTCCTCCTCCATCCGCATGATAGAATCCTGGTAACCAGAAGCCTCGCGGCCTGTACGTTCCTCCATTTCTCTCATCTGGCGCAGCAGAGACTCGTTCTAGATGGGACAGAGAGGAGATGTTAGAGGTGGAACAGAGGGGGCTGAACAGAATAATAAGAAATGTGGGTTTTGACAGAAACATATCATAAATGGTATGAACAACAGTTCTTACAGTTCCCTTGAGTGAGTCGATCTCACAGGTGTAGGACTGGATCTGGTGTCTGAACTCCATGCTCTCCTGCTTGGCTGTACGCAGAGCATCATTGTTCTTATTCACAGCCTGGCTCAGATCAGACACCTGAGGACAGAAGGGATGAGGATTAGCAGTGCAATAGCTACAGTAAAAGGGACTTTGTTTTTATGAGTTAGTGTTTGTGTCTACCTTAGACTTGTACCATTCTTCAGCATCTGCGATGTTCTTGGCAGCGATGCCCTCATACTGAATGCGGATGTCCCTCAGAGCAGCAGTCAGGTCGGGTTTGGACATGTCCATCTGGATCTGCACCTGACTGTCCTGCATCTGACTCTGCAGCTCACGGATCTCCTGCAAAATTGTAAATAAAAGGGTTATAGTTATAATAGCCATTAGAACGGCTATAGATATTGAACCTTCAAAGGGGCCAGAGTTGACAAAAAGTAAAGTGCTGAGGAGGTAGACATTTACATCCTGTGTAAGGCCAGGCAAGGAATGTGTGAACAAAACGTATTGATTTAATAAGAGAAGTAGTATATTGTTTAAAACAACAAAATCTGCGTTTAACCCTTGTTTAAACAAACTCGTCTGAATGTTCTTTGATGACAGACAGAACTGATCAAGGCCAAGAAAATACAAATAAAATGATCTTCTAAGAAATAATATTATAATGAATGACGTTAGCTCTGAATAGTACATTTACAGTCAGAGATATTAGAAGTTAGGCTTTCTTTTATGGCCGAGCGGTTGTTTGTCACGGCCCATGCGCAGAAGCTATGGTCCTAGTTGCAGCGGCCGTGGGTTCGAGTCCCCTAACCCCTAACCCTAAAGCCCCCCCCCCCCCCCACTCTCTTCAGCTGTCCTAAAGGTCAAAAAGGCCCTAAAAAATGTAACTTAAAAAAATGTAAAAGGAACGTTAAAGGTACGGATTTGGCCGCTGAAAAAAGGGGGTTTATTAGAAAAAGATGAAGAAATAGAGTGCCTAATTCTTGTTAAAAACTCTTTTTTAATCAATCATGACACTTTGCCTACTAATTTCTAATTAGATCTAACAAAAAAAAAGGTTCATGCTTTAATCAACATAATGAGGGGAGGGCTTCTGAAATCCAGTTAATGACTTTAAAACGTCCACAAACTTGTTCAGTGAAGCAACTATATTGAAATATTATAACAAACAATGTATGGCACAGGGCTTTAGCAGGTTAGTTCCAAAAAAAAGTTATAAATAGCTTTTACATCTGTTCGGATCCACACACACACATGCACACACACATACAGCAGCTGACATGCTCTCTTCAACCAATCAGCAGTTCTACATTTCTGAGAGGTCAAACTCGTGGAATAGGGGGGAGAAATGACAGGAAGGGGACCTCAACTGTGCTGCCATGTCTGAGTGTGTAACTCGGGATGTCCTTTGATGTCTGCTGTGGGTGACTGAGCACTTCTGTGTCTGTTGAAGTCACATTTGAACCAACTGCAACTACAGTTACATTTGTATGCAGAAAGGACAGTGCATGTAAATATAAATATAAATGTATATTTTTGTCCATGGATGTGTGTTGGTGTGAAATATTTGATAACTTAAAGATAGCTGCGTGCCCACAGAGGTTTAAATATATCTGAGTTACAGAATAGTAGAGATGTTATATGATACAGTACACACCACCCTACTGACATACATGCTGTAGGTGTCGTGACCAGACAGATTTGATAGACAGATCAACATACCTCCTCATGGATCTTCTTCAGGAAGCCAATCTCCTCTTGCAGACTCTCAATGCGTCTCTCCAGGTCCAGCCTGGCCAGAGTGGCATTGTCTACATCCTGAATACAAACATCCAAACAGAAAAAAACAATATAAGGACAGAAAGGGTAAAAAAGGTGCAGGCAGAAAATGAAATTAAGAGACAGAAAGTTTGAATATAGAAGTGTCAGGTAGAACAAGAAATGAGAGGAAAGAAAGTTGAGAAGACAAGAGGGAAAGTTGAGCGAGGATGGAGTTGTTTCATTTTTTTTTTTTTTTTTGTCGTGGTTCTGAGAACAAAATGACAAAGAATTGAGATCTAACATCGGGGTTTCTTTTAATGGAAAAAAATAAGACATACGGCTCTGAAAGCAGAGAGGTTGTGCTCAGCCTCTTCCTTCTGTTGAACCTCCTCCTGCAGTCTGGAGAGGAGGAAGAAAAACAAAAGAAGAAAAGAGGGGGGGGAAGAAAGTTAACGGCAAACAAAGACAACAGCTGTGTTTGAGAGATGGCTTCTTTCTCCAGGGACCAATTATTACAGAGATCATCTAGTTACCACCTCTCACTCCTACATCCTCCTGCTCTCTGTTCTTTTAGGCTGCTGCTAAAGTTACAAGAATAGATACCAGCTAGACAATGACACATCAAAGTTGAACTTTTATTTGCATTTGTACACACACACACACACACACACACACACACACACACACACACACACACAACCACTTGTGCTCTTTTGGTCTTGAAGCTGTAGTGCAGCTGCTGGCACAGAGTCACAAGGGTAACAGCGAGAAAGGATCAAATGTCTGCCCTCGACTAGAACTTCTTTCAAAGTTGGGAGGAAATTTACAGTGAACAACTGATAAAATGTACGAAAAGTGCACGTGTGCAATGTATATATACAAATAGTATATTATACAATTGTTTGAACATCTTTAAACTGATTGACTTATTGATTGATTAATTGGATTTTATTGTCAGACCACCCAAAGCGGCCCCATTTAAAAAATACAAATTAAAGACAAGATACAAACATTTGACCCAAATTCAAAAACCGAGCAAATATTCAAAGGCCTTCAACGTGCTGTGACTTGTGATTCAACTCCATATTCAACTGGGGTTTAGCCAATGCTGAGCAGGAAATAGCTACGTTTATAAATGTAGCTGCTTTGCTTTAGATGCTTTCCATATATTCTGCAGGAATTATGTGTGTATCTGTGTGTGTGTGTGTGTGTGTGTGTGTGTGTGTGGTGTGTGTGTGTGTGTGTGTGTGTGTGTGTGTGTGTGTGTGTGTGTGTGTGTGTGTGTGTGTGTGTGTGTGTGTGTGTGTGTGTGAGTGTCAGAGTGTAACTGCTGGCAGGGCAGGATGTCTCTGTGTGCTTTTTGATCTCAGCGGGAGCAGCAGGTGCTTTGGCAGACTTCAGTCACTGCTGCAGGCAACAATTTAAAGATGGCTGATGGAGAGAAACTAAGTGGCTGTGTATGCCGTGTGTATGTGCATGTACGCGTGTGTGTGTGTGAGTGAGAGTGTGTCTGTGTGTGTGAACTGGCAGTTCCAACTGTTTTTTATTTGCAGCTAAATTTAAGTGATGTTGCTTGCTGTTGCAGCAACGTCAATTTTAAAAAGAGCCAACCAAGTAGCTACAAACAGACTATTGAGAAAAACACCCACATCACAGCTCTCCCCCTGTCTCTCTCTGTCTGTGTTTCACCCACACACAAAACTCACACACAGCTAACAAACACATGTACAGATAAGTATGAGAAGATGTTTGTATTTTCCGAGGTCTGTTCCTTTTATCTTAACTTACTCTGACTTAAGATTCACAAAATAACAGACTGTGAATGAGTTCATCTACTTGTCCATCTGTCTGAAACTATATCAGTCTGTCTGCCTGCCTCAACTTTATTCCTGTGGGCCTGCCAGTCTTTCTCTCTTCTCTCTCTCTCTCTCTCTCTCTCTCTCTCTCTCTCTCTCTC